AATTTATGATCTTATTTATTAGCCTTTTTTAAGTTTCAGAAGTTTATATTTATTTGATATTATTATTTATACATGTCCATAAAATACTTTTCGCCACTAAAATGAGGAAGAGTTTTATCCTTTGGAGCGTAAGCCGCTAAAGACTAACTAAATATAAGTTATTTATTAGTGTTATGAACGTAGTGGCTTTTAACTACGAGTAGGTAGGCCTACTTATCTATGGTCTGTTAATTAAGCTGTTTCTAAAATAAGTACAAGTGTTGCATGTAGTATGACAAACTTTGTTAACTATGTTTAGGAAATAAAATCACGAATAAAATAAAATGAAATCTGGAATCAATTTACCATAATTTAATACTTATCAAAATACATTAATTTATAACTAATTAATTTATCTTTTTAACACAACTTTCCGTTGAAAGTTTGCAAAAAGGATTTAGGTACTGCATTTTCACTCAATATCAATAATTTATTTAGTCGCCAGAGCGAGAATGAGTTATTTACCTGATTTGGTAAAGTATGAAATAAAATTGTCGAGTAAATAAACACTTATTTGCGTCCTCAGTGTTTAAATAATAGACAATTTATAAATAAAAAAATCGTTCAAAATTGATAGCAAATAATAAATATGCGATTGATAAATTACAATGTGATTCCCCATCAACGTTATCATTTAACAGAAACATTGATAAAATTTTGCATGAGATTAGTGTAAAATGCTTTTACATTATCGTAAACGATTGTGTAGTACACAATGCAATAAATAACTTTGATGACATCATGCTTGGGAAGTAGGTACAAAAGTTTCAGATATTTAAAATTTGTTAAATTCGATAACTTTTTAAATTGTCCTTTTTTCAGCGGGGGTGCTCTGCGTGCACTGTGAATCAATCTAGACTTGTTTAGTATAACTGAAGATCTCTAGAAACGATAAAAATATATGGTATTTTAACATATTGTCCAGCAATAAGAACTGCGTTAATGTGGCAGCTTGTGGCGGCAACATACACACACAGATTAGGAAAATCGTGGTCCAAGGAGACGTATTTTTCACGAAGGTATCCCAAATCGCATCAACACTTCGGAAATTGTTTAGGATTTGGTATGCAAAGTGGAATTCAAACGAATAAAACACGCCTCCCATTTATACTAGAAATGTCGTGTTTTAGGGCACATTGTCGACTGCCTACAACTGTGGGTGGCACTTTTTGATTGAATCGAAAACATTTTTTTTATCCACAACGAGGAAGCTCTTTACTGATGGTAAGTGATGATCAGGCCGAAGGTGGATGGAGCTTCACCCGGAATCCTCAACCACGGAGGAACTGGCTATCTAATTGAATCCGTTGTAACTCCTTACAAAAAAGTTTTTCGACCATCTTTCGACATAAAAACTGTCACATTTTGTATCAAGGGGCTGTATCGTTTCCAAGTCTAGTAGATGAAGTTAGGGTTGGTCTCGCTCTGGCGACCGTTGGCGACAGGGTTGCCCAGCGCGCGGCTGCGGCGCTTATTGTCCTCGATGCTCTGCAGCAGGAAGGGCGGCGCCGACTGCCGCTGCTGGCGGAGCTCGATCTCGCGCGCCAGGGCGTCTACCAGCTGCCCACCTGTCTGACTGGAGGAATACGAGGATTAGCATTGTAGATAGCTTTCACTGCAGGATACAAGAGATTATTTGCATTGCAACAACTAGCAATTCACGAAGGCGAGTGAGCTTTACATATGTGGTGGCTCACTACGGTTCGTTTTTCAAAAGTTTTGATAATCATTACACTTCGTTATGTGTACACGTACACGTACAAGTTAAGCTCTCTCGCCTTTGTGAGTTGCAAGCACCATACCACGGTAATAATATCATACAGTATTGTAACTTCATATAAACGGACGAAACGCGAGCTTTCCTTTGAAATTGAAATCTCGGTATAGGCCAGTAGAATTAAACACAAAAATTGATTAAATCGGAAATAATTCCTACAAAAGACTTTTTTGCTTTAATGGCTTCATTGGTTGCCCATTAAGACTCTCCTAAGTTTTCGACTTCGACGGAGTGTGCTTAAGTGGTGGGGGCCCCCGAAAGCGGCGCTTTTTCGGTTTTCCAAAACATATGAATTTGGTCTTATTCAATGCAGAATTAAGTGCCCTTCAACCGTCATGAAGACCACTTTTTGATAGGGTAAGTCCTTTACGCGGTATAACCGGAAAACCGAAAAAATGCCTCTTTCGGGGGCCCCCACCACTTAAGCACAACTCCGTCGAAGTCGAAAACTTAGGAGAGTCTTAATGGGCAACCAATGAAGCCATTAAATAAATAAAATCTTTTGTAGGAATTATTTCCGATTTAAAAGCTAATTCTACTGGACTAGTATGCGCTCGACATGCAAAAGTCGGGGGTGTCGCGAATGTGCCACAGTAATAAACGGACGATGTGTTGTTTTTTAAACAGTAAGCGCTCTTTTTTTTTATAAAAGTAATTACAAGTACCTATTTATACAGGGTGTTAGATAAATGGGTTTATAAGCCGACACTGGCCCATGTTAACATTAATTGGTATGGTGAAGTCAGAGATATTATCATTTTTTTTTAATTTTCATACAAAATAAAAGTTATAAAATCAGATTTGTATGAAAATTGAAATGATTAAAATGATGATATCAATTTTCTGACTTCACTATACCATTTATATGCACATGTTAACATGGGCTAGTGTCGGCTTATAAACCCATTTACCTAACACCCTGTATAATCAAGCATTTTGTACGCCTCAGTTGAGGCGCATACATTTTACGGTCGAAAATTTATAAGATTTGTTACTAAATCTTAACACAAATTTATTTTTTTAATTAAATCTACTAATCAAAAAACAACATGCATTTTTATTCATTCACAAAGTATTTAGTTTAGCAAATTAAATAAAAAAATTACAATAACATAATACATTTACAAAACTAGATAGAAATTCTAAGTAGGTAGATGTAGTGAAAATAGGGTCTGCAGGTGGTAACATTTATTTCAAAAATATGGTCGAATTGGAATACTGCATAACCTGCATAACCTTGTCAGTTCTAAGAGTCGTCAACATCATCATTTCAGTCACATGATATAGCGCCTTCCTGCAACCTTTTTAAGGTCCTGGAAGTAATTAATCTGTTCTTTTCATACCACATTTACTTGTGTACGGTTTACTTACATACTCGTAGTTACCTGTTTCTTTAGGTGTTTAGAAAATTCAGAACTCCGAAATCTTTTTCTTTTTCTATAGTGTCGGTTGTATTAACTGAGTCTGCATAATAAAATATTATTAAACCAAAGATATGTTTAATATTAACATGCTATTGATTTGAATCTATTATCTAGCTTAGGCATTTCTATTGTGAAGAGCCACTTTTGATAAAGGTAGGTAATTAACACTAGTCATTTCTATTTACACAAAAAACTACCTACATGCCTAAGTAATTAATTGTTTATGCGCCATTTTTATGATTCACGATGAGTCCTTGACGATGAATGTGAATTTAATGATGTGTCATACATAGAGTTAAGATTAGTCATACGATTTAGCACCAAACAAAACCTAGTTTGTCGGAAATTTAAAAAATCCACAATGGAAAGGTGAGAGCTTTATAGGGAGAAAGTAGGTGTTTTTTAGGGTTGAATGAGAGCTTTGTTGGGGGGAGTGGGAGCTTTGTAGGGAGAGTGGGGACTGTGTAGGGGCCCGAAATCTTTCAGCTCGAGCTGAAAGATTTCGTTCTTTAGAGCTGGATGGGCGCTGGGTGGAGCGTAGACTTCATCGGAACCTAATATCTCACGCCGCTGCCGCGCCGATGCCGTCAAAATTTTGAGGACGCTGGTTTTTTTTTAACTCGGCGCGCACCTCTAACTTAGACTGACAGGTAGTTTAGAGCTTTATAGGGAGAGTAGGAGCTTTTAGGGTCTTTGCAGTTCTCTGTAGCTAAAATGAAAGTCATACCGTTCCCTCTCGCGCTCCCGGCCGGCTTCGACGTCCTGCTCGCGGTCCTCGGGCGAGTACATGGAGAAGCCTCGCTTGGCCAACTCCTCGTCAGGGGACTGTACGAAGCTTTGTAGGGGGATTGAGAGTAGAGAGGGGGAGTGAGGGTATGGAAGGGGAACTGGAAGCATTGTAGGAGAAGTAGAAGCTTTATAAGGGGAGTGAGCACTGCTCAATAGCTAAAATGAAAGTCATACCGTTCCCTCTCGCGGTCTCGCCCGGCCTCGACGTCCTGGTCGCGGTCCTCGGGCGAGTACATGGAGAAGCCTCGCTTGGCCAGCTCCTCGTCAGGGGAGTGTACGGAGCTTTGTAGGGGGATTGAGAGTAGAGAGGGGGAGTCAGGGTATGGAAGGGGAAGTGGGAGCATTGTAGGAGAAGTGGGAGCTTTGTTGCAAGAGTGGGAGCTTTGTATTGAAAGTGGAAGCATTGTAGGGGAAGTAAGAGCATTGTAGGGGGAGTGGGAACTTTGTAGGGTCAACCACTAGTAGCACAGCTCAATAGCTAAAATGAAAGTCGTACCGTTCCCTTTCGCGATCTCGCCCGGCCTCGACGTCCTGGTCGCGGTCCTCTGGCGAGTACATGGAGAAGCCTCGCTTGGCCAGCTCCTCGTCGGGGGAAAGCGCGGGGTTGTGGAACGCGTGGTTGCGGTCGTTGTTCATTTTTAGCTTTCTGGAGAGCGAGAGAAGTAGGGTGGAAAATTAAACTGGGATTTGGTAAGCAACTGTAGGTAAGAAAGCCGACTACAATGTTTATCGTCCAAAATGTTGTCCCGTACAGATTGCGCTTAGATTTTGAACGATTTCGGACAACTTATCAGAGTCAAGTTTGTCGAGTTCATAAATTTTGAGAAGAAAGATAAAATATTTAAGGTATAGAATTGGTTTTAAAGTGGTCAGCTGGATTACTAGGGTAAGTCCAATCTCAGTAGAAAGTCTTGGTTTAACAATAATACGAGAAAATAGCAAAGAGTTGACGAAAATTTTCTACATTTTAGAATAGGTAGACATTAGATGGACAAAGTCGACAATGGCATGGCAAACTTGAAACATCTTATCTACAAATGACTATAAGAGAAGTGTCTTTTTTCTTCGGGAAATGTTTAATACCAACTGCCCGATGGCGTCCCAGTCAGTGGGTTATGTGGGACTCTCCGCCAGAAGAGCCTATTCACTAAACCCGACTTTGTCTTCCGGGGTCATTGAGCCGCGAGTTATTGTCCTAAAATGGGACATTTATCCGCGGCTGGCTCAAAAAGGAAAAGTGTCCTAACACAATCATATAAAATCGAGCGGGGCACATAGCTCGTTCGAGACGATGGCTGTTGAGGCAGAAAAGTGTTCTAGTGGCGACCTCGGACCGGAAGACGCAGCGTGGGCAGGTCTCCCACTAGGTGGACCGACAATCTGGTGAAGGTCGCGGGAAGAACCTAGATGCGGGCAGTGCAGGACCGGTCGTTATGGAAAGCCTTGGGGGAGGCCTTTGTCCAGCAGTGGACGTCATTTGGCTGAAACGAACGAACATTGTAAACTCACTGCACTCGGATTCGTCCAGTGGCCTGCATCTCTTTGACGACCCGGCGCAGGCGGCTGACCTGCACGAAAAGGATGACCACCAGCAGCAGCAGCAGAGCTGCCACGCTCCCCAGCACGCTCACTATTATTATCAAGTCTGTTTCCTGCGGGGTAGAGTCCATATTTACACTTATTTTATTTTATTTCAAGAGGGAAATTTGCGACTTATTAGGTAAATGAAAACTCACGCACACGCCCTCACACACACNAATCTATCGTATTATCCATTCATTATTTTTAAGACGGATACATTAATCCGGTAAATCATTACTCATGTGATAAGCAGTGATTTCATTATAATCATTAATGACTAGTCTTTGCCCGTGACATCATCCGCCCCTAGCTGATAATCTTGATAACAATGCGCGATGGAGCAGATACAAAACTTTTGTTTCAATAGATTTTTGTCCTATATCTTGTTAACAGAAATGCAGCATACAAAAAGGTTTACATCATCTGTCAACATCTACTACGTACATAAAACATTTTTTTTTCAATAACTTACAGTAGGAGACTATAAAACATATATTGTATTGTTGTTCTGCCACCAAAATAGTGGCCTATTATTCGTATTAGTAGGTTATTTATGTAACAGCGATTACCTACCTACTTAGGTAATCGTTGATTAAACGTTGATATTGTGGAGTGATTAAATGAATTTGAATTTGATTTATTACATTTTTACATTACATAAATCTTAAGTACTTATCAAATATCTGGTAAATTAAAATGTTTAACTTTCAGCTGTTGCGTATCCAATCCACGATGGATGGAATAAAGTTTTCATACCATATTGTCTGTGTTTTGACAATTGACATTGCAGTGAAAAACCTGTTAAAATTTTAGGTACCAAGGAGTAGGCTACCTACTATAGTGCATCGTTGATAGTCTTTCTGTCTCTAAAAAAATCTCCGTATTTGACGAATTGACGATCCATTAGCATCTATCGTAAAGACAGGATCGCAGACTTCACACGTCCATGGTAATGCAGTGCTTATTGCTATGTGACTTTGTGTGTAGGTACATAAAGATCTATCGTCGAATTTAGAAAAAAAAATGTCAATTTCATAGGTACAATCCGGTCGAGCTAACTGCGCACGTCGATGAATGTGAATCTCCCTCGTAGTCTTATGCACTCACTCTTTTCCATGCTCTGTGCACTCACTCGCACATATTAAGCATTTTAGTTAAAATTAAAATTGTCTCTAACTGTAGCGGAGAATAATGTTGTGGCAGGCCTTTGTTCAAACGATCATAGCAAATGTTGTGATAGGGTTAGAGACATGCAATTTTTGGTTTTACAAAGATAATACGATAGAGAATAATACAAAGTAATAAAAACCACCTGTTATAGGGGCATTTTATGTATTTTTTTAGTATTGCCTGTTATTTAGAATTATTACTGTTTTTATTTTATCAGGATATTCCTAGTGCTTAGTTTAAAAGTTATTACGTTTTCTTTACAATAAGTAATTGAAAGAAAAGCGTTCGCCCCATCAGTAGCAGAGCGTCGATATGACGTCACGGCTGCTAGGTGCGCAGTTAACTCAATTGGGTTGTAACTTTACTGTAGGTCACTGTAACTAAGTCAAAATATTTCTGTGAAATATTTACTCCGTAATAATTTAAAACAAATAAGTAACGACAGCTTATTACAAATAACTTACTTTGCAATCAATATACCTACTAATGTGTGAAAATAACTAATTACAAACATAACCTTTTCACTTTTAATGAACTCGCTATTGGTAAGACAAAAATAATGATAACTATGGCTATGACTCGTGCAAACAAAGCATCGAACCTTGAACTTTTGGCTGTGATCGAGTCTGATGGATGACAAGGGCGTGAATCTAGTCTAGCTCTTTATTATTATATTTGGATTGTTTCTAGGCGGATTAGTAGCTATGGTAGGCACACAAACAGACAATGTTACGTCAAAACATGAATCTGCTCAGAACATTTGAGAAGCACATTACACACAGATGTGGCTTGCTTTGGGCTTGGGGTACCAAAAGGAATCTTAATCTGGAACTGATTTATAAACTCATGTAATTAATTTCAAACAGAAGACGGTTAGTGACCAGAAGTGAGATAATATTATTATATTGACTAATTAAATCACTGAATGGATAACACATCTAACAATCTAACTTAAAATAGTACCTACATTTATTTTCAATAGCAAACAGGTAATCTTGATGCCTAGATATCTGGATTCCACTTTTAGCCTCAGTCTTTCATGAATGTCTTGTCACTGAAAGACTGTATGGAAAATCGTTTTCCACGCATACAAATCACGCAGCTATTAATCTAATTAATGTACATTCTTTTGCAATTAAGAGTTCTATAGTACTACTAAGCTTTTGTTAATTCACGCCTTAGGTGCTATTGTGATGGGATCAGTCACATCAGTGGCCCTTGACCCCGCGGCCCGACCTTGGCTGATGTGGCGCCGATGTGAACCACTTAAAGACTTCTGGGGATCGGTGGTAGGGTTGATCCTTTAGAAAAATCTTCATACTCATTTTATCGTTGTTATCTTGATTCGGTTTCTATTAAAGCTTATTTTATTTATTTAAAACTTAGATGCACATAGAACAGTGTACATAAGGCGGACTTTATGCCTTTCGGCATTTTCCTCCAGTCAATCTTAGGGCCAAACTGAGAATAAAGTAGGCGGTATTATGAATTTAGATTAAATAAGCTCTGCTTAGCTTTTGTTCGCAGCTTTGCATGCTTAGGGAGGTATAGCTGCCATGCAGAGCCCTATGTCCCTAGTATACTAGGGACGAAGGGCGTGTCGTGCGCGTCACGTTTACCTAAGTGTGTATAGCCAGAGCCCACCTAGCAAAAGGTGTTTCATTGTGACACTCGGTACGGTACCACGACAGAGCTAAAGCCCGCCTGTCTGTCCTCAGTCTATTGTAATGTACTCATAAGTGACCAGTTAAGGTAAACATTAACTTCTAAACGATTCTAAGCAACGTGCAATGAGTTATTTCTACATATTCTGCAAATAAACTTTAAACGAACTTTCATTTTCATTTTCAAAGCTTTTAGAAAGCGCTTTTACACGATCCTGTATTACCTGTTTTATACTTATGACATAAAGATTTATTTATTTATTTATTTATTTATTTATACTTTAATTTAACCCTATCACTGCTTCGGGACAAGAAATGGACTAGAACTGAGAAGAGGTTACTTTAGCAGTGATGTTGATTAGGCTCCGAAACTACTGGACAGATTTGGAAAATTATTTTACCATTAGAATTCTACATTCTTTCTTATGAACGAGCGGTACAAAATTCGCCAAGTCACGGTTGGCAGCCCTACAGAAGAATGCTGGCATTCTCATGTCATATCGGTCAACGGATTGGGGCGAAGCACGATTCGATCATGGTCCCGTCAGAACCAGAAGTACAACAAACGCTGGCTTTGTCTATTGACGGGTCGGAGCGTGCGCTGGTAGTCAACTCTTAATCAAACGTGATAATAAGGCCACCTTTGAATTGTTTTGCTATGATTCATATGTGTCATATCATGGATGATATACTTAATAATAAAATATTTGATTCTTCTTAATATTATGCCCTTGGAGTCTTGGCTATAGATCCATCATCAGGTCATTTAGTCTCCACTGCAGGAGCAAGACCGTCTTTAATGCACCACATGAAAATGAAGGTTTTGGCCTACACTCCCCACGCTGGCCAAACGGGTTGGGGAACGGTTTCTTCTTGGTAATGTTGAATATGTTTTGAAGATACATGCAATGCCAAAAGCGTTCATTTTCCGTGAAAAATAAGTTTGGAACTACCTACTTGATTTTGATGCATCAATTTTTTTATTTATGTATTTTATTTTTTTATTTTATTTTATTTAGAAACCAACGGCGTTACAGTGATTAAATCTTAAAGTAACTTAATTATTATAAGTATGGCTAATTATAGGTTTCCCTGGAATATCCTTAAAGTAAATCTACCGTTCGGATTACCGAGACGCAAACTCCAAAAGATGAAAACTAGAACATTACAAATAACTTACTTACCTAATATTACTATGAGAATACATTTTGATATATTTGACACCCTATAAAGTTGAGCTACATTTGACGATTAAATTAAAGTTAATTAACTTAAAATGTAATTAATTTAAATTACTTAAACTAAGGTTTATAGTAACGTAGTTTTATAAGCAACGTAGGAAAACTACAAAGATAATATCAGCTTGACATATTTAGTTAGGTCCGTTTCAAAGATTCAAAGATTCAAAGCTTTCGTAATCCTTTTAATAAATTATGCGGATTCACATCAACACCACATTAGCGTCAATCACCACCGCCATTGTCCGACTATTGCCAATTGCTATACATCCATTTATCATAGCAATAAAATCCAGGTCCAATACATCAAAGGACCATCATTCATGACACGTGAGGGACTAATTTGAAATGTATTTTGGATACTTTAGTCGTTGCCTTGGGGTCTAGTATCATTATGTTATTTTGTGGTCTAGTAGCCTTTACATGACATCACATGACCATTGATGACATTAAGTAAAGATAAGGTTTTAGGTATAATACTCGTAAATATTAATAAAATAATGATAATAATGTTAATTATTGCTGTTCAGAATAGCAATAACGTTAATCAATTTGTATGGCTTTTATCAAAGTCTTAGACTTAGGGCTGATTTTTCAATACTCAGATATCTTTTATCTGAAGAAGAACCTTGTCATTTTGACATACTTATTTCCCATACTGAAACTGTCAATGTGCCAAACTTATTCTTCAGTTAAAAGTTATCTGACGATTGAAAAATCAGCCCTTAATAAACAATAACTATTGCGGTCAATGGTAAATAGTGCTGATAACTTCTTTATCTTTTTGCCTTTATTTCACAAGTGTAATATTAGTGTTTGTTTACTACATTATACCCGAACAAATGGAAAATTACATTGATTAGCGTCATAAAATCTGTTTTTTTTTTAAATTTCATGCAGGGAAAACATGTTTTTCAGAATTCCACTCTTGACACGTAAACTAGTCCAAAGACTGTAAATTGGCAGTAGAAGTTTAAAAATATTCACCTCCTATCTGCAGACGGATGATTAGTTAGC